ACAACTGATTTCTGATAAAGAGACCTATCAGTTCATAAAAAACTTCCATGAAGGATGCACTTCATGCATGGCTCCTCCAGCAGCCTCCTTGACTTTCACTCCTAAGAGCAGGAATAATAGCCTTGGGGACCCAGAAGTCATTCCAGTCATGTGAGGATCAGTGAGTGAGGATTGATAAGATAAGGGAATTGGGACTTACCATGTATCTCTCTTTCCTCAGCCTTCCTTCTTCTTTCCTGCTCTCACTGTCATTATACCTATCATCTGAGGCCAAGTGTAGCAGTTTTTTCTCCTTTTTTGGAGCAAATTGAATTGCAAATTAATGAATCAAGCTGTTTTGATTGATCTTTTCCTTTGTGTTCTGATACACTAACAGGTGAATGTTTGTGTTCTTATGGGATGTTCCCTTGCAATGCAGCTCTTCATATGCAGCTTGTTTTTGTTGCCCTAAACACCACTGCTAGTGTGCTGTGTTATTGGTTTTCACTGGTAATCCTTTTTGACTGCTTTTGTGGAAGCATACATTACAGTATTTGTGGGTCTTTGTAGTACTGATAACCTTTAGGTGTGTTAGCAGCTAAAGTGGATGTCACTGCTTGCAAAAAGATGCGTTCATGCTCATGTCACAATCAGTGGCAAGTATCACTGAGTTAGTGGGCCTCTTGTGATATGATGATTGCATGTTCTCACCACTTCAGCCCCCACCATGTAATTACTTTCAAATCCACAGGCGGTTTCAGCCACCCGCTATCTGATGACAGAGAACACCATAGGGCATCGCTTGGCATGGCACCGTGAAGCTTTCCCTCCTCTCCCTCACCCTGCTGCCACGCTCATAAATCACTGCCAGAATCCTGTTTGATTTTGGAAAGCATCTATGAGGCGCGTCAGAAAAGTTCCAGGAATGAGTTTGCTGTGTGAGTATGAGTGGAGGAGGGATTAGCGGGTTGCGTCACCGTGTGTCGTAATATCCGGGGTGTGTATAACTGCAATCTCAGCTCTCTGCAACCATTGTATGCGTTTTCAAATGCTTAGATTGTCAAGCAATGAGCACAGAGCAACGAATCAACCTGAAGTTTCTGGTCCAACTGGGGAAAACTCAGAGTTCCTGTGGCATTTGCTTTGTTCTGTGCATGAAAAGAGGTGGGATTTGTGGCAGGACAAGTCGTGGCTGCTTCATCAGGACAACACGCCGGCTCACAACGCCCTGAGCATCCGGCAGTTCCTGGCCAAGAAGAACATCTCCGTGCTGAAGCAGCCTCCCTACTCACCTGACCTGGCTCCATGTGATTTTTTTCCTTTTCCCCTCAAGCTCAAGGGGGTCATCAAGGGGCTTCCAGACGTGGAAGCCATAAAGAGGGCCATGACGATGGAGCTGCAGAGAATCCCAGGAGAATTTTTCCAGGAGTGCATGGAGGGACTTGAGGGGGATTACTTCAAAGGGGAAAACTTGCAGTTTGTATAATTTTTTTTGTAATAAATTTTTGTGACCCCAGTCCTGGAGATTTTCTGATGCACCTTGTAAATATGTACCTCACAGGGAACATTTATTGTAGAATCATTTCTTCCAAATTCAGTTCCCATGTCTTCTTGATCTATGAATAATTTTTTTTTAACTCCTATCCTCACTTGTTAACCATGTGATACTTGAATTCTGCGATTGATAAGGCTGCCAGGACTCAACCTGTTAATAAAAGACCCACAAGCAAACACATACCTGTAATTTGTTGACTGAATTCCCAGTCACACCACCATTTAAATTCAGCGGTCCAAAGTCTGCACAAGTCTTTTCACATTTCGTTACACAAGTATGCGTCAATGATGAATAGCAAGCTGGTAAAGGCAGTTTTTTTTCCCCCACTGTTGCCATTTGCTGGTTCAAGGAGGATTTTTTAGGTTTTCCTCTAAAATAAGGTCTTGACTTTACTATGTAAAGAACCTAGGGATGATTTTTGCTTTAATTCGGTGCTGTTGAATTGAATGGATTTATTTTTACAAAATAGAGGAGGCTGTCATATTAGCTATGTTGCACCATCCTTTTTTATTTAACCCACTTCTATCACACAAAAGAAAGCTTGGGGACAGTTATGAGATGTGAGGCAATAGTGCAAATACTGCTGTGATTGGGCAGTTCTAGCATGGTCTTGACTTCCTCTACAGTAGCCTCTTATTTATTTTGCAAGGATGCATGGAGGAATTTCACTGCACTGCTTTCTGGTGTGACCTGGCCACAACGATGTTGGTAATGGAGGTAAAAACTGAGAAGCTGGAACTTATTTATGTTCTCAGTTTTTATTTCATTTACATGCTTGCAGTCATTGAATAACACTATTTCTGCACCAATTCAAAGTTTCAACAGACTAAAAGTGTCTGTTCAGGCAAACACCGTTGCTAGTGGCTTCCCTCTGTTCATTTCATCTCCTTTTTTCCCTTTGTTCATTTATTATCCTGTTATTTTTCTAATCTAATCAGGTTGAAAGCAGAATCTGACAGAAGAAAATCATTTTTAGAACATTCAAAAATTCAGACATTGCTTTTATTTATTTAACATTTAGGGTTTTCTATCAGTGAAGGACAAGGACAACGATACTAAGGTAGTTTTTTTTATGCTGGCAATATTCTTACTCTAAGAACCACTCAAAACCCTCCCCAAAGTCCTTCAGGACATGACTTCATGCCTGGCAGATAGAGCTGACCAGAGCATGTGTTGCTGCTGATTCTCTTTTTCTCTCTGATCATGGTGACCTTGAGCCAGCAATAGACACAATGCCACAGAGATGGATATGTTTACACCAAAGTGTGATTTGTTTTTTTTTTTATTTGGCTGAGATTACAGGACACTGCCTTACCTCATCTTTGATCTTATTGCTAAGAGCTCATCAGCGGTGCCTGGTCTGCCCATTTGGGTGTTTGTGTTATGGTGTATCTGCATCCAAATTCCTCTGGGAGACTGTAATGGGTTTGTCAAGTTCACACAAAGAAAACACACAATGAATAAGGACAAACACTCCATTTGAGTCCTTTATTTTGTTTCTCTTCTTCATCATGCCGACACAAACCAACTAATGGGTTGGTTTCTATGTTGACTTCCTGTAGCAGCAACTGGTGGGCAAATTAAATACCGAATATGCCTTTTTCTTGTTAGTTCACTGTTAAGTATGAGCTGCATGGGGTGGAGAAATAGAAATGCTTCCTCTATGAGGTCTTGTTACCCTGAGACTTTGTATTACTGATGTCATGGAAACCAACAGGACTAATCTATTAAGGACCATCCTCAGGGAGCAAAGAGATCAGGCCTGAACAAATTGTTACTACTTATCATTGGGACACGCTTTGCTCTACAATACCACAGGGAGCCATTTAAGACCTGGTCTAAACTCTGTCTTTATCCTGTAAAGCATGGAAGAAGAGCCTTGGTAAAGGAGGGAGGGAGGTACAGGACAGTGAGCAGAGAAAACAGTGGGGGAGGTTTGAGGGGTTTTAGGATGGCTGGGCATTGCTTGTTTACTTACTGTTAAATTATGATTTTCTTCTTGCTGGCACTTTTATCCAAAACAAAAGCAAATCAAGTGTATTTTTTTGTAAAAAAAAAAAAAAAAAACAAGCTAGGTGTTTTATACAATTTAAAATAGCTTTTTTACCTGTGCATCTGAGGTTTTCTACATATAATATAGCTAAAAGTGTGCACTCAGTGCCAGTTTATTATGTACATCTGATTAAAGCAAATTAGCCAGGTGTCTAACTCATCCCTATAATAAAAAACCCTCATTGAGATTGTAATGTTTTTTATTGTTTTTGTCTTGTAATTTGTACAGATTTTGTTGTTATTACAGATTTTAATATTTAGTCTACCCTCATAGATGTAAATAGTTTGGACTGTAAATATGGATGTACAGACAAAATCAATCAAAATTACTTTTCACTGTTAAAAGTCGAAATTTTATTATTAGGGAACATCTGTTTCACACTGCCACTAAAAGGGGTATGTGTGTGTATTCTGATTTGACTACCAGCTTAAAAACTAATGAGGTTTATGGCACTTTTTGTCAGACAAATGCATCAGTCAAGTACTAAGGTTTAAATTAAATTTCCCTCTCTGACGCATCATCCTGCATTGTCAGTATAATTCTCTAATTCAGTTACAGCTAGCTTCACACTAAATCACTATAATTCATTTTTAACCACACAACTACTTGTTATCCATCATGTACTGTGACCCCGTCTCAACAAACCCCAGATCTCCTGAGTCTGCTCTGTCTCACCTTTGTGTTTAAAGAAAAGAAAAATCTAGTTGCTCTTACAAAAACACACACAAATGTACATAGACAGGAGCATCTTATTCCAGACATGAGCATGAGTCGTGCGCAGGATCAGTTTGGCATGCAGCCCACTCTCTGTGGCAGAGTGCTGCCTTTTTGGACAAACTCAATTGTTGGAGCATTAAGCCAGTACGAGTTCCAGCAGACAAACAGGTAAACAAAACATTTACTGTATGTCTGTACCCTGAGTACCCAGAAGATGTGTTTGTCTCATTCCAGAAATATCCAATTCAGTCTCTCTTTTTTACCTCTCCTCTGTTCTCTTTGGCTCGCTCTGCTGTAGATTGTACTGTGTGTGTGTGTGTGTGTGTGTGTGTGTGTGTGTTTTGAGAACAGAAATCTTAAAGAATATATGTCATCATAACAGATTGACGTCAGTTTCGATATCAGTGAGGAGGCTTCCTTTGAGTTGTCAGTGTCAGTAGCCTAATACTGTCAAATCTCTGTGTGTGTGGAGGTGTGTATATTAGACTTTCAAGCCTGGTTTTTCCTTCATCAGAAATGCTTTTTTAGGCGAAATGACTTTTGAAAAGCCTTGACATTTTGTGCTTGTGTGATTTTTATGATTTTGTACTTTTGTACAAATATGAGTCATTTAATCTTTCTGTGTTTGTGTGTGTGTGTGTGTGTGTGTGTGTGTGTGTGTGTGTGTGTGTGTGTGTGTGTGCGCTTGTGTTCCAGCCACCATCATTTTGAACGAGCTAAATTGGACAGAGGCCTTGGAGGATGTTTTCCGGAAAAACAAGGATGAAGATCCTTCACTCCTCTGGCAAGTGTTTGGTTCTGCCACTGGATTGGCTCGGTACTACCCAGGTGAGCAACCCATTAGTTTGATTCTCAAACTAGGGTGTGTTGTTTTTACAGTTTGGTTTGTATATGAATTAGACAAATGAGATGCGTGTTAATTAGAGAGCTTTAAAAATACTATTAGGCATACTTTTTAACTTAGGTGAGAACCAGACTAGCTGTGTCTCTCTCCTTTCAGTATTTATTCTAAACTAAAGTACTGTAGGCCTCTTAACTCCAGTTGCATACTTAATACACAGAAAAGCAGTGTCAAAATTATCATTTAGCTGTCAGCAACAAAGTGAATGAGCATATTTCAAAAGAAGTCCAACTATTCTTTAAGATTAAAAATGTATTAAGATATAAGGAAAAATTTTATACACCCAATTTTTTCATTCTGCCATATTCCAGCATCCCCTTGGATTGACTTGAGCAATTCAGCCAATAAGATCGACCTCTATGATGTGCGCAGGCGACCATGGTGAGTGCAGACACTCATTATGGGGTGTGGAGGTTTTGTTTTTGTTTGTAATCACTTTTTCAAGGACATGCACTTGGCTCATTCAGTCTACTCGTGTAATTGTCATATTAAACATTAATTTTCAAAAGCTAAACCGTGTCTGCATGTTGCATAAACTGCTTACACTGCACATCTGTATACACACACACACACACACACACACACACACACACACACAGTTTAAAACGATCAAACAGAGGTTACTCACCAAAGCCAAACAAACACATCAGAGCACTGTGATGATTAAGCCGCTGCAGATCAAGGGGCACTGATACAAAAGTTTCATTAGTCTCCTAAAATTATTCATAAAATTATTCAAATCTGGCTGGAAGCCACTAATCCTCTTTTAACCATGATATTAAATTTCATTAGCCCCATTGGCTACTGAGCACTCAAACTCTGAATAAAGCCTGTTTATGAAAGAAGTAAGAGATGAGAGGTAAATAAAGAACATTGTGTTCTGGTTGATTTCACATGCAATGATAGAAAGTGTTTGTTAACTAGCTAAAAGAAAAATGAGAGTGATGATATAGAGTCTCAAAGCTATATTATGTGCTAAGTTATTGTGTTGTATAGAAATTTGTTTTAAGAAATCTGCATTCTGTGTGTGTGTGTGTGTGTGACTGTGTTCTCCACTTCTGTGAACATGTACATCTCTTTATGTGCTTGTGTGGTGTGTGTGTGTTATTATTCACCAGGTACATTCAGGGGGCAGCATCACCCAAGGACATGCTGATCCTGGTAGATGCGTGAGTGACAACCTTATGATTCATCTATTACAGTCAGATTTTATTTTCCTTTGCTGTCCAGAAGGCTTGATGCTAACTTTCGGAGCGGCCTCTCCCTGCTGGGCACTGCTGTGCTGTGCACATGGCTGCCTCAGCGCTCCAGTGACACTGAAAGACAAACACCAGTCAGCTTATCAGGCATCTTCATAATTTACAGTCCAGTAATTTATTACTGTGATATATGCCTTAAAAATGATGACTTAGAGGAATTTCCACGCTAATAGGGAACTCTAGAGCGACCCCGGTCACAACTACAGATTATTTTTTAAGTGCCCATGGTATAGTATGGTTTTATTTGGCTGGACCATCGCTTACACAGTCAACTGAGTGTTTGACAACTGTGGGAGTGTTGTAAGGCAGTGTGTCATTAAAGTGCCCATGGCATGCTCATGTCAAGCCATTTAATCTTTGGTACCACTAGATTAGCTTTGCACCCATCATAACGCCACATAAAATGAAAAAAAAAACAAAAACAAGAGCCTCCTCCTGAAAACGAGAGGATAATTCATGAACACGCACAACTTTTTTTTAAACTTACCGTTTAGTCCCACCAAGTAGTGGAAACATCACTCCCTTTCAAGTTCCTCCAAGGTCAGTAAATCCAACCAGTGATTGCTGCATCTTCCCCTATAAATCCCTCGTATTACAGAAGACCGCATACATTCAGGTAGCGTTGCACCAATAATAACATAATAGATCGTTAGAATCCTCTTGCCAACCAGCAACTTATCAGATGCAGCAGACACATTGGCCTCAAGCAGTAAAAACAAACAGGTACTGTGCTCCAGAGGAATCCGGTGTTGATCAGCTGATCATTTATCGCCCCAGGGTGCCTTACTAGCCGGCTGGTTGTAGATTAGACCCAGTCAGGTAAAACAGCAGGTTCATGTGCATGAACATTCCTGGACATGCAGGAACCTCAAGCCCTCCACATTCTCTGGTCACAGTGTAGCAACAGGAGGGAAAATATATCCACAAAACTGGGTGCAGTCAAAAAAATCCACTTTTAAAATGGCACTGCTGGACGTCAGGCAAGCTCACATGGACGCACACAGCCAGGAGATTATGACCATTCAAAGAGATCCATAAACTATCGCGTAATACTTTACATTGTTGGAAAAAACGTCTCATGGATGAGAGCTTGTGAGATTTGTATAAACCAAGCTGTTTCTGCATAGAAATACTAGATCATAGGTACACCTCATCTAAGGTTGCATCTGAGATGATAATTCACTGTTGTTACATTGTAGATTTCCTCTTTAAAAAAACAAAATGTGGTTGTTTTGATTTCACGTTATCCATTTAAAGACAGAGAAAGCAGTTTGTTTTCCATATTTACTAAGGACAAGTAGGTGAAAGAGGCCAAGCAGTATACAGTATATTCATCATACAGTTTTAAAGCTTTGAATCTTCAAATTTTTTTTTACCTTTGATTGGTGCTGATTCATCAAGTGTTTTATATGCTTCTTTACTGTATGTCAGTTGAAGTACAGGACAGGGTATAAAGGTGGCAATGTCGTTTGTTCACTCTGTTCAACTGCTTGGTGCTAGATACCACCAACTAGCCAAATGTTGTGAATCTTAGTATAGTTTTTCACATTTTGGAAACCTGCTGAGTTATCTTGTACACAAAATATATAGCTGGTTTGGTCATCCATGTATTCATTTTCCTATCTGACTCTTCTGGCAACAGGAAAGCAGAAGAATACAAATGGAAATTTCTTGAAATGCACTGAGGTGATTGAGAAAAAAGATCACAATTAGACAGAGGTGCAGTTAAATCACTTTGTACCACCGATTAAACAAGGTTCCTTTTGAAAAGATGCAGTGTCACATGTTTGTGTCACTTTAAACAAGTAGAGGAGTTTCAGTTTTTCATTTGTTTGTTTTTTTCTGCAATATTGATTTATGTTGTAAAACTCATACCATTTTGTTTCAAACTATAGGAGTGGCAGTGTTTCAGGTCTCACCCTCAAACTCATCCGAACGTCCGTTAGCAAGATGCTGGAGACCCTCTCTGATGACGACTTTGTGAACGTGGTATCTGTGAGTATTCACATAGCTAATACGTGTATTTATATATATGTTTATATTTATATTTACTTATATGTTTTTTAGAAACACTGAACTTTCTATCACTTCAAGTTACAAAGTTTGTATATTCTTGTAAAATCCTGTCCAGAAGGTTCATGTGACTTTGTGCCTGTATTGAATTGCCAGGTGCACACATGCTGAATGTTAACATGGATGTATTTGTGGCTTGGCTGTTGAAGTAGCTTTACTCCTGTGCTCTGAGTCATTGGTTTAATCATTACAGTGACCACATGGATGGATCTTAATTATTATAGTATCATACAGTATGTCCCTAAGTGGATGCATGTATACTTGTGTTCTCATTCATCTGACTCAAAGTATCTACAGTGTGTATATGCAGTATATTTGCCTGTGTATGTGTTTATGCTGGGGCATGTGTGAGAGAAATGCCTCAAGGGCATCAGAGCTAAATCCGAGCGTGTGCCTGGTCAAACACATGACACAGCTTGAGCAAACCCTGAAATGCCACAAGATAAGTTTGACAAATGAATGTGTGCTGCCTGATGGCCCACATTCGATGTGGAAAAGTAGAAAAGCCTCTGCTAGTCCAAATGAAATTCTGACAGAATCTCAGGCATCAAAGGATTTAGTGACATGGAGATGGAGGAAATCCATCATTATTTAAACCTCCATAACCCAATCAGGCAGATTCATGCCTCCTAGCAGTATTAATCAGGAAAAAAACAACAATTTTAAGTGGTTATATTGATTATTTACCCCTATTGGAAGAATTTATGGGTACTAGCCGAGTCAAATTGAAGGCAATCACACTTGATGTGATTAGGACTCAAATGTGAAGAGCACCGCTCTAGCTTGATTTTGTGCCTTTAGAGACCGCGCTGGAATCCATAATTTTTTTGACAATAATCAAGCTTATCTGCTGTCTCTCATTTACAGAGCATAGCTTAATTTAGCTGATGTTGTTAGCCATCAAAGGAACATTCACAGTACTTTAATAAATATCGTCTGGTTCAACAAAAAAAAATTACTACCAAACTGTCCTTTTGTTCCCTGGTTTGCAATGAGTGTAAGAGGAGAGTCTGTTGTTGTCTGCTTGGACAACATAGGACATAATGAAAAAGACATGACTCTTGCTAACACCATAGCATTTGAGTATTTTATCCTCTTAGTTTGTAACATTTGTCCTTTCCTCTGCTAAATACAATTACACAAGAACACAAGAACATAATGCCACCACTTCCAAGTAACTGAAATAAAAGGTACCTAGTATGGGTTGATCACTGAAAGCAATGACCTGATGTCAGGAAGAAAGCAGATACAGTGGGACAGGACATGCCACACTTTCTGGGTAGAAGTAGCAGGTGTCCAATGCCCATAAATCTTGTTTTCTGCTTCTTTTTGCGATTGTTGTTTCTTTTTGTACCACACATAAAAGCCAAGCATCGCATCACACATTTCCATTTCTTAATGTACAAAGTGGCATGACTCACCAGTGTTTTCCTTATTAGAAAGCATTTCCATAGCATTTACTTCACCACACAGGCAGTCTGCCTGGCTGCAAACTCCCCAGCTCGCTCCAGTTACTACATGTTTGGCACGAGGTACATCATGTACTTAATGGGACTGGGACTGCTCTCTGTCTAAAATCTCCTTTGTTCTTATTGGCCTCTACTTTGTCCCCTTCCACTCCCAAATGGGAGGGAGAATGCTTTCCAGATGAACCATTAATTACATTTTCTTTCACTTCCCTTAATAAAGCAGTGGTTTATATTTTTGTTTGGAGCTTTTAAATCAGCTAAGTGGAAGGGCCTTTTGGAAGTTAATGAAATCAGGCAGCAGTGTAATAAGTATATTGATGGCCTCCAGCTTAGTTTGAAGACCTTCCATTTAGCATTTTGAAGCTTTGTGAAGGTACAATTTGTTAAAACCTTTCATAGTAAAAACTTAGTAATTAATGGGACTGATGTGTGTGTCAGTCTGCGTGTCTGCAACAGCAACAACATACAGGTATATATGATGGACATGGCATCATGACTTTTCTCCACTATGCAAAAATGAAGCCAAAATATTATGAATGTGACAGCTGTCGTCTTGCTTTTTGAAACCACATTCTGTGCAATAGTAACCAGAAGTGGGGTGACAGTATTGGACCACCAATCAAAGCTGTGAAATCAACCAAAATCTCTTTTTATATTATCATATAAAGTATTAAAAACAAACTTACTAGAAGAATGACTACTTGTACACACCTCAGCATGATAATATTTACCAAAAAACACAGAAGTGACCTCTGAGAAAAATGTATTTGATTTGCACTTTGAGTTTTTAGTGTGGTTCATGTCCCATTTATTAACATGGAGGCTGTGGGATTTATGACCTACACTGCAACCAGCCACCAGGGGGTGATCACGTCTCAGTGGCTTTACTTCAGGGAGCTCTTAGCCTGTCCACCAGTTTTACAGTCGATGTCTGCACTTGGTATTACTCACATTGTGGGGATCCAAACCTGTTCACACACTCACATTGTGGGGGCTTGGTCATCCTAATGGGGACCAGGGAACCATGTTTCTGAATACATATGTGTATATGCGCTAGAATTGTTTACAGTGCTGTCTGGTGACATGGTGACATGGTGACATGGTGGTGGCAATGACAAATTCAGTTTTCTTCATATACATGAACATAGTACATTCCCACGTACAGTGTGCTCTTCTGCTGAGCTTTTATTACTGTGTCTGCGTGTCTGTGCTATTTAAGATGTAGATTATAAATGAGATAAAGTTCTAGCTCACTATGGTTTATATTAGTGTGTGAGTGTGTGTGTGTGTGTGTGGAGACCTTGTCCTAGGCATATCATTTTTCATGGGCAATTATCAATATTCTCTAAATGTTTAGAAACCAAATAATGAGTCAGTCAATTGATCTAATAATCTGCAGATTCATTCATAATGAAAATAATGACATGCAATCCTTATGTCCATTTATCCATTTTACACAGTTTACTCTGATAAGCTCAAATGAGATTACAGATAGATAGATACATGTTGGGACTTACAATAACCTACAGTAATATTTATTCAGATATTATTGAATGTGTATGCTTTTTTTGTCCATCATACAGTAATCCAATATAGGGTACTGTTAAAAGAAAGTACGGTAGACAAAATATGGAAAACTCACTGTAATACTGTAGCTGTGTAAGAGCAGGGAGCAGGTGGAGTTGACTCATTACTGTCAGTCATCTGCTGGGAGACTGAAGTGGAATTTGACCTTTAAGGGATCTGACACTTGTAGTGAACATCATGTCCAATGTTTTAATAACTGAGAATTTAATTGTTTGAAAGTTTGTTTTTGTGGGTCATTTCATTTGGTGTAAATGATGATTTGCCGTCAGTGACTGAGGCCACAGGTTTAAGGTTCAAACAAGTTTCAGTGTGAATATTTACAACAACTAACCTCAGTCTGAGAAGAGTTAAAATTCCAGCCCTGTTTATTGTTGATATAAGAGCAAATTAATACAGGGTTATCAAACAGTTTGTCAGACTGTTCTCATGTCACAACTAAAAATATCTTGTTATCTGTAAACTGTAAAACTCCCAGTTTAACTTTTTGACCAGTGCATCTTGTGTCTCTCATGCCTTGTGCTACGTTTATTGATATAACTTGTGTGATTGTATAGTGATATAAATGTATTTACTGAAAATTGCAGAACCATGTGTGTGCGCGAGCAGTCATCTGTTCATAGGATGAATGTCTTGGCAGTATTTGTCCTGAAACATCCGCCAACATGTTGACTAGTTGGAAGGGGACACTGCGAAATGCAGCACCCTTTGCAGTTCTAAAAACGTAAACCCAAGTGCACAGAGGAAAAAATAACAGAGATGACATATGGGAGCAAGTTAAGTTGGATTTTGTCCTCACTTGGAGATTCTGGCTTTTATTTCTTTTGTAAATCTCACAGTATACATTTTTCAGCTGACCTCTTTACTCCCCACTTCCCATATGTTGCAATGATCTCTGAAACATTTCTTCTTAAACCAGTAAAAATAATTAGCTGTTACTTTGTGACTGCTATGCCTATACAGTAAGTGATTCCAAGCAGAAGGTGTTAATTGCACATATCAACAGCCTTGCAGGGCTTAGCATATGATGACAAATTGAAAAGTTTGTGTAATATATTGGTGAGTATCTGCAGCTGTTCAAATTTGTATTGTAAGAAATAATAGAATCACCTCTTGTGTGGGTGTGGTGCCGTGTTTTGTGTGTGTGTGTGTGTGTGTGTGTGTGTGTGTGTGTGTGTGTGTGTGTGTGTGTGTGTGTGTGTGTGTGTTTTGAACATGATTATGATTGGAGGAGTTCAGTCAAGGCCAAAACAGATGTTAGGTATTAATGGGCTACGTCCTCTGTAGATGCTGCTGCTGTGTGTGTATGTGTATACAGTATGTCTATAGGTGTGTGCATGGACTGACTGGGTTCCATCTGCTCTTCCTCATTATCTATTCACCAATATTAGTTTGAAGATATATTACATGTAAAGTTGTTTAAATGACTTTTAACTAGTTGTGGTAGTTACTGTCACGATGGCATAATCCTTCCACATCTGTGATGTGTTGTGTTTTTTTAACCTCCTTATGCCACTGTTTTCACATCCCTACCTGCTCTCCTGTCAATCCTTCCTTCTGCTCCTACAGCTCCCTTCGGTCTGTGCAGATTTAATTAAAACTAAATTTATTTCACACATTATTCAAGTATATCTGTTTATTTAAACATTTCAGAGTTTATTTTATTTTATTTCATTTTTCTTAAAATACCTTAAAGTCCATTCTGTATGTTTAAGGGACTCTGCAACGAAGGGAAAACAGGCCACATATTTAAAAAGAAAATATGTGAAAATGCCTTCCCTCCACTTCCCATCATTCCTCCTTCCCTCTCCCCTCCAGTTCAACGAAGACGCCTCCTATGCAGCGTGCTTTCACAACCTGGTGCAGGCCAACGTTCGCAACAAGAGGATTCTAAAAGATGCTGTGCAGAACATCACTGCTAAGGGTATAACCAACTACAAAAGTGGCTTAGAGCTGGCTTTCAAGCAGCTTGCACAGGTAAATTGTCACTGTGAGTTTGGTGAAATGTTTCTGGTATCTGTGTCTGGCAAACATAGGAACGTGTGTGTGGCCAGTGGATGGTAACAGTGAGGATGGTGCACTCTGTTGTATTTAATGATTTTATCCAGCCGTGTGTCTTGAAATATGCAGACCGTCCCAGAGGCTTGATGAAATTCCATGAAATCTGCTTAAAAATTTGATGTAATTTATCTTCATTAAATTTATCATTTCCATCCAATTATCAAAATAAGGATGGGACACAGGACACACTCGCTCTCAAGAGTGTCCTCAGGAAGAGTGAGTATGCATCGACCTCTTCTGGTTCTTTAGGACGTTGCACTTTTTTGTATGAGTGCAAATGTTTTCCCTGCCATCCTCTTAAGCTACAGAAATCCTTGATTTTTTTTCACTTCCCTTGCTTAAACAAAGTTTTTGCCTCTATGTTCCTTAGGTGAATGTGTCGAGGGCTAACTGTAACAAGATTATCATGCTTTTCACTGACGGAGGAGAGGAGAAGGCAGAGGAGATCTTTGAAAAGTACAACCCAAAGCAAGCGGTGGGGCTGTAAACACAGTGTTTGTAGAACAGAATGCAGGAGTCTTAACTTTTCACTGAATTGTTTTTTTTTTTTTGCCTTCTTACCCCCACAGGTTCGCATCTTTACATTTTCAGTAGGTCAACACAACTACGACAAAGGGCCAATACAATGGATGGCCTGCGCTAATAAAGGTGTGAGGTTGTGATAGAGCGCTTGTGACACACATCTGATGTGTATTGTTCTTTTTAAAGATGAAAAGCAAAGTAAAAAAAAAAAAAAAAAATTACCTGCGACCCAAATGTAAACTTTTTTTAATAGCTAACAGGTGTTTGGTAAATTGCCTAATGACCTTGCCTAGACAACTTTGGATTAATTTCATCTATTGTGAATATACCTCTAGTCCTGTTTTTCATTTCTCTAAGTGTTTTAGTCCGCTTTTATTCAAATAAGGGGTGGGTGGGGTCTGATTTTCAGTAAAGTCAAAGTTATATTGTTAGCTTTCAGACAGCATTAGAATTATGGATAAATCTGAATATGGTCTCTTGTTAATTACAGTATGTTTACAATCAAGTATTTTGATCTGGTCATTTGAGCTTGGATATTTCATCTAATTGGACCTTTATATTTTTACAGTTGATTTTATAATAACCCTGTTTTTCTGTCTCAGGCTATTACTATGAGATCCCATCTATAGGTGCCATTAGGTTGAACACTCAGGTAAACACATCTACTTCTCCCTGGCTCACTTCAGCAGTTGTGTCTTGTGCCCTCTTGTGGTTGAATGAGTGATGTGCCGGTTGAAAATTAAAACTGAAGTCATTCTGTAATCCTTCTCTTGTTCTTGCAGGAGTACCTGGATGTTTTGGGCAGGCCTATGGTTAAGGCTGACAAAAAAGCCAAGCAGGTTCAGTGGACCAATGTCTACCTGGACGCTCTGGTATGTTCCGTTCATTATATCTCACTCACATGATTCCACATTTCAAGTTTAACAAAGGCAGAAGGCACTTTGACAGGTTTGTGAAAAGACATTTGCAGATAGTAGTGCTTTGCAAAAATTGTTTAGCAATTTTTCCGTTTTATGTCAGATGCAAAACTTAAGATAAATCCTGTGCAAATGTCCAAACATTTGCCATTATTTTGGTAAACTCAGCTTCAACTCTGCTCCACTACTGTGTGTCAAGTCAAAGAAAAATCTGATTTCAAATAAATTCTGCATGAATACATTTTTTGTGGTGCATAAGCTTCTTTTAGCTGACAGTGAAGATAAGGAACTGGTTTGGTAAACTGAGCCAAATGGTTTGGACCTTGTCATCAATTTACTGATAAGAAATTGTCAGCATTTGTGACTATTGACCTCATCAGCACCAGGAATGTTTCTGCCTTCTGTTACGGAAAGCATCTGATTTCTAGTCTGTAGATGTTGGCCAGTGTTTTACATGTTTATTGACATTTTATTTATTGAAGTGTTCTGTGAATTTATGCTACGGATAATGATTTTGACATGAATGGATTGCTTAAATACCTAATGTATATTCAATATGTTGCATGTTGATTCTCCAGGAGCTTGGCCTGGTGATCACTGGAACTCTACCTGTCTTCAACAAGACCAACACAGGCTCAAAAGTGAGTAAGGATTCTTATGTTGCTCATTTACAAATTTATGTTACTAGCATAGTTATTGTACCTCCTGTCTTTTTTTTTATATTATACATACATAGTCCCAGATAGTTTCTTGATTTATTCACTCCTGACTAAATTTACGGTACGTGTGACACTATGACCCCAAGGGAGAATCTAAGTTTATGGGTTTTGGGACATGCTGTAATGTTTACCAAACCAAAAAATAAACATACAACAAGAACATTCTCAATTACCATCTCATTCTTTTGTTTCTTGTGGCTCTTTGTTATATCCTCTGTTGAATCCGTCAAAGCTCTCCCATGTGCCGCCACTGGAATAGAATCTAGGATGTCATAAAGCAGGAATCAAAAGGATATCAATCCTGCAGATCAGAGGGACATGATCCGGTAGCTAAACGCTTCAACATGAGTTTACATGACTATCTCGAAGGGTTCGGGCTTTCCTTTGCTGTGAGTGAAAACAAGGCTGGAAATGCCTTGTCAGTGAGTCATGGCGGCCTGGAAGGCTTTTGAGACTGAGATTGTCCAGATTTCTGTTGCACTCCACTTCCTTGAAGCGCATGAAGAGACTTGACTCGTCCAGAAAGGGAAACAGGCCTCATAAATGGGTGTTACTGTGACTCTTTCTACCCCTGACTCTTTTTCAGAAAGCTCAGAACCAGCTCATCCTGGGGGTTATGGGTATTGATGTCTCCCTGGAAGACATCAAGAGACTCACCCCTCGGTTTACTGTAAGAGCACACACTACATTAAGAACCAGCTCATTTATACAGTAGATGTCATATTTAGTTGCTGCATTCCTAGATATCTCCCTGTCTATTACCTTTTTCTGGTAGTTTGGACCAAATGGTTACTACTTTGCCATTGACCCCAACGGATATGTGCTGCTCCACCCTAACCTTCAGCCACTGGTAGGCTAACTGGAATCATGAACAGCCAGACATTTCCACTTTCCATAATCTTTTTTTTTTTTTTGCAATTGATGTTAAAACTTCATTTAGGCAAGAAACGCATAAATTCTTGATTGTCAATGATACATTTTAGAGTTATACATAAAGATTTTAGTCTTTTTTAGCCCATAAGTATTTTACATGTTAGAAAATGCATTTTTGCAGAAAGACACCATGACTTTTTAGCATTAAGTTGCTCTTGGTCTGCAGTAGGATCTCTGCTGCAGATGCATTTGTTTAACTTGGCTCACATTTTAGTTCCTTTTTTTTAACAAATAACTCAGTCACAGGGCTCCACGATGATGTTTGTTGGTAGTACTGCATGTTTCTCATTGACCTTTGAGATGCATTGTTTCAAATTACACAGGCACACACTGGTCACAGAAGATTACAATATTCAAACATTAGAGTTTACAAACACCTTAGTCCATATTTATTCCCTCTTCAGAGCTATATATAAATATTAGAATTTATTTTTGAAATGTTTCTTATTTATTTTCATCCTTTGTACTCAAAGCCCATAAATTTTAAATTATATTATGTAATACTGCTTGCATTTTCATGCAGACTGCCAAGTTTCATGAACCTGTAACGCTGGACTTCCTCGATGCAGAGATAGAGAATGAGCTCAAAGTGAAGGTTTGGAAAATAGATTACTCATGATTCCATGTCAGAATCAAACACTGTGATTTTTCAGTTTAGTGTGATTGATTATTCTTTCCCTTTTTTTAAACTTGGTCAACAGTTACGTAGAGAAATGATTGATGCGCTAACAGGGAGTTATACAATGTCTACATTGGTGAAATCCCAAGATGAGGTAATTTTATATTCCATAGTTCTACAATTCATTATAATAATAAATACATTTGCTTATAAGTTGGTATGTACTGATCAAACTGTTGCTTTCGAAGCGCTACATTGACCAGGGTCTGAGAACATATACCTTTGCACCAGTAAAGGGGACAGATTACAGGTAAATATAAAACACATATACAGTATGTGTCATGAAGTGATATTGCTTTTGTAAAGTATTTTTTTCTTTAACCAAACCCATTCCAAAAACATAGGATCTCCTATTTTTTTGCATTTCACTGACACACTTTGCTGAATGTTCATCATAATGGCACAGAATCATTTTAGCTGTCACTGGGGCCAGAGTCAGACTGCAGTCCTAAGTTCAGTACAAAGTCCAGGCAAGTACATGAAACCACAAGGACCCAGTCTTCGCAACTTTCAGTGTGTGTGGAAAAGTCAGCCGTCCGCTGACAAATGCTTAGCAGGACTTACTGAAAGATTTACAGTGGTGCTATGATGCAAGGATGTTTTTTTTTCTCAAAACAAAGCTGTTTTCATTGTGTTTTGCATGTAAAATTATTTGATTGAGCAAGATTATGTGCATGCAGCTACAGTATTGTCTCAGACAACAAAATCCTTACTTTGTTCAGCAATACTGTGAAGCAAAAATTTGGATTTATGGGAGTTATTACAAAAGCTTGTGTAAATTCAGTACAGAAATGCTGTAGACACTGTTATGGTATTTTACCATAAGATTTGTGTGTGCGTTTGTGTCCTGTTGTCAGCCTGGCCCTCGTCCTTCCAGAGTACAGTAGACGTTATATCCGGGCCACAATTGGTGACACAATCACCCAGGCAAAATGTAAGTGCAACCCTAAATTATTTCCGTCTCCTGTGCCATTCTTAATTTTTCCACTCAACATTTGCCTTCCATTCATCCAGACAGTAGACAAATGGTAGAAAAAGACTGCTAATATCCAGTGACGACATCGTTGTCCATGTAAGGCTGAGAAATGCTCAGGTCTGAGCTTATTGTTCCTATCTTCCTATCACTTACAGCACCACACACACAGTATACAGTACATATATCCTGTCCTCTTGTGTCATTTGTGTTGCTGTTTGAAGTTTTTTGTCGTCAGACGGCGGCACAAGTGGCTCCAGTGTTTTCTTTCACACATCCAGTACTCATTCATTCATTTAATGCTAAGTATCTTGCTCTATGCATGTGTGTTTGTGAGTGTGTGTTCATGCTCAGGGCCTATTGAATGGTATACATTAGCTCAGAGGCTCCATATGTGTGGCGCTGTCATGTCTCTTTTGAGCTCTGTCTGTTCCCAGTAGTAAAACATGTCATTGAATCATTGTGTTACTCAAAGGACAGTTTTATAGTCTCTCTCTCTCTCTCCCTCTCTCTCTCTCTCTGTATGTGTGTTCCTGTACTTGCTGCATAGTGTGGACCAAAAAAAGTTGTTGTTTTTTTGGTCTGTTCAGGTTAGAATTAGGATTAGGTTAGTGTTAGGCATTTAGTTCTGATGGTTAAGTATTAGGGCAAGGGGTTAGGGAATGCATTATCAGTCCTCACAACTTAGAGGTACAAGTGTGCACGTGTGTGCGCATTAAATGTAATTTACATGGAGCCATCCCTGGTTAGTCTGTCCCTCTGTCCGTCCGTCTGCACTCTGTAGCCAAAAGAGGGCTTTGTTGTGTATTTTGTGAACGTATAGTTACTTATCGTTCTCCGTGTATTGTCTAAACGTTTTATTTTGCCGACCATTTTTTGCAGCAAATGTGTTTGAAGTTCCTACTTTCCTGCCTTTTTAGGCAGCAATTGCTACACTTCATTGCAGAATGCTGTAAAAATTCAACTGGCAGAGACTTGAAGATTTCTTTTCTAGGTGTTTCATTTTAAGCGGTTGAAAAGTCTTCTTCATGATTCTTACAGCAGCTGAGATGTAGCTGTTGGCTGCAGGAGCTATGTTGTGAAAAATCTTTAGAACATTAAAACGGTTATTGTTTTCCAACTGGCTCTGAAAGTTTTAAATGGTGGAGCATCAATGAACACATGAACAACCACAGTAAATTAACTAAAAGACTAAAGGTAACAAAATATAATATGAATCTCAAGCAAGTGTGAAGTGAATTTCCAAGTGTCGCTTTAATATTAGTTACTTCTGTCTAAAACTCCTTTGAAATATTATATAAAAACAAGTGTAACATATACAATTGTTGCTTTTAGACGTTTAAAATGTGAAGCCATTAGTGTGGTGCTTAAAATATTAAGGTTTTACAAATATGTACAATTGCATTTACATAAAAGTTTACACTACAATTTCTCTGTGCTTTTGTTGTTGTTACCTATCAGGAATCTTACCACAACCATAACCACTACAATGTAACCACAACCAAGTCTAACTTACATTAAATCTAAACCCATCTTTAACTTACTGAACTAAACTCCCACAATGTGGCTGCATAAACTGCTTTTTGTCCAAACATTAGGAATACACACACTTGTCTCACCTAAAATTTTCCAGAGCTCCCTTTGTGTCTTTTATTGCCTGCTTCAACTCTAAGTTGAAGTAAGCAACCTTGTTTCCTTTCCTTCTCTCTTTTCCAATTCCCTTTTTTCCTCTCCTCATCTTTTTTATCCTCCTTCCTCCTCCTGTTCTCCTGCCCTCCTCAACTCCTGACCATCCCCGGTGTGTTGGACCCCCTGCAGCGTTTTTGGGCAAGTATTCCCCTACTGTGCTTTACCTCATAACCCCTGTCTTCTTCTTACTCTCACACTAACGGCAGACTTTGGATGTAATGTCACCTTTAACTTGGTTCATCAAATACTCACTCACAAACACAGAAGAATTTAATTCTCATTATCTGTTTTGCTTCATTTAGCGACTTCTGACAAATAATACCAATTCTGTTACTCTGAATCAAGCTAGCGTCTGTTCTCAGAAGCAGTGCTTCACATGCGATGCACGCCCACACAGCGCGTTGCAGACGGTGTGTGTATGTCTGTGTGTGCATGTATGTATTTAGCCCCCACCTGTTGCAATAGCCCTCAGATGTGGTTTTGGCACTAACCCAGTGTAGCAGAAAGAACAGAGGACAGGACGTTTGCATTATTAAAAGATGAAGCCATAAAGGCAAAATCTGTGAGTCTGCACCCAAAACATGTTGTTGCTTTTCTTTGTTGTCTTTAGTTTTCTCCTTTTGAGTCACTTTGAGTTTTACAAACTTGTTAAATTACTCCTAATGAAAAACAGAACGCGCTAAACACACTAACCTTCATCTATTCTGGTTGTCCTTCTGTACGCGTTGTCTTCGTTTTCATCTTGTTCGTGGGCATAAAATCAAAAGTCTTCGCAAAACATATTTAAGCTCTGTGGTTTATCTGAAACTGAAGCCTGACTTGTCTCTTTTATACTTTTTCAGAGTGAATATAAATGTCAATTTGAAAACATACCTCCCGATTCCCATTGCCATGTGTTAAGTCACTGTGTGTGTGTGTGTGAGATTGATTTATGCTAAAATCCCTTCACGTTTTGAATGGATTGAAGCTGCATGTCTTAGATAGTTTACAGATTCAGCTGTTTGCAGAAAAAGGCGTGCAAGAGTGCAGAGAATATATGCAGTCATCCCGCCCCAGATCTCCCTGCTATCCATCATTGCTAGATACTTTGTTGGATTAGCAAGCGGTGACCAAATATCACAGGAAAACCACATGGGGGCTGCTATTTCCCAATCATGACCACCAATGAGGACAAGGAGTAGCCCATGTCATTGTGAGAAGATTTGCTGTAGAGTGTAATCAGCTGTCGACACATTGTGCTTTGGAGAGTGTCAACGGAAAATTACGGTTATGAACTGTGGTTAATATTACTTATTTTGCTCTGATGTGTAGTATCACTAAAGTAAGTCCACAGATGTGCCACCAAAAGAATGCTAATATTAATGCTAAAGCACATCTAAATCACGACTAAAAATTTCTGACCGCATTTTAAGCCTCTCTTTGTGTTCTCCCTCAGCACTGTCTCCATTTACATCCAAAGGACTAAAACCCTTTGTTCAGAATGCAATATTTCTATTCAGGACTCGTTCTGTGAATAAAATATTGTGTCACCTTTGACCCCTGTGGTTTTACCCTGTCTTTTTTTTGCCTTTCTTTTCCCTCTCGTCTTTACCTCCCTGGGGGATGATTCTCTCGTTCACTCACTTTCTCTCTGCTGGGATTTAATTCCACTCCAGGGGAAAATGGCAAGTATTTTTTCTTTACTTTCATCTCCCTCCTCCTGTTCTTGAGCCTTGTTGGTCTTTTACCCAGCATGTCTGGCCAAGTCTTTGCTGGTCCTTCTTATGTATTTGTACCTAGTTTTTATCTGAACTCTTTACAGTGTTGGATTTCTGTGGAATGTAAAACTGTCCACAAATAATCATTCAGTTAGTCCAGTTAAATATACGCTTTTTATTTTCTATTTTTACTCTGTACCATCCCCTTGCATTTTAAATAAGTTAGGACCTTAAGCTTAAGCGTGAAAGTTTTTTTATTTTTTTCCTTTTTTAAAAAGAAAGATGTGGAACTATTAAAAATGTGAAGCTTTGGCACTAATGTGTTTCTACTCAGCTTGCTATTGGAGAACTGTTAAATATTTAACAGGTGTTAACCTCTGCCCGGTGGAGCACCATCTCATCTGCATATACAGATTGTTTCATTTTAGCATTAATATGTATTTATGAGAGAGAATTCATAATACTTTATACCTTTCACCAGTTTCTGAAAGCCTGCTGGCGGACAAGTTTGATGAATATGGGTATACATTTATTGCTCCGAGGTAAGATGGCAAGCAGTTTATTCATATTACATTTTCAGAACTATCTGAAGCTACTTGTAACTGTGACTCAGTATAGAGACAAATTCCTTTTTCTTCATTTTCTTTTTTCTTCAAATTTCTTTTGTCTTCATTTCTCCATCTTTATTCTTCCATAGTTCATAAGTTTTGTTTTGTTTGTTTCCCACAGGATGTACTGTAAGGACTTAAAGCTTCCTGACAAGAACAAAAATAACACAGAGTTCCTCATGGAGTTCAACAGTTACATTGACAGAAAGACACCAAACGACCCCATGTGTGAGTATCAGAAATATCCTGACATACCCCTTTTCCAACTTACATGCTCTCCGTGCCGTCAACTGTGTGATTTTGCTTGAGTACAAAGCTTTTATGCTGGATTGTACTGTGCTCTGTGACCTTACTCTCACTACAGACTCCTCCAGATTTAGATCTCAAAGAGCAGTTAAGCTTCACAGTGTTTATTATAGTATGTAAATGTGATATGTGCACTGAACATGTAATGGAAGAGCAGCATGCTCACTAATTCGTGTTCCCAGAGGTCTCTTTTTCCAGTGATACTCAGGTCTGGCTGGATGGTTTTGGTGTGCACGACCAGGCACAACTTTGTGTTGTGGAACCACCGTGTTTGTGTTACCCATTTGATGCTAAATCTAAACGTCTGACCGTCACATGCCCGAGTGCACGTGTGAGGCTTGTCTGCTTAGATGTTCGCTCACACACACAATACATTCACCGGTAATATGCCTTTCACACCCACCTATAGCTGCCCCACCTCAACCAATTACTGTGTGTTTGTGAGAAAGAGCAGAACATGTCAAGTGCACGAGCAGAGCAATAAAACCCAAAGCAGGGGCCAATGGACCTTCTCCCCAACATCTGACAGTGCATTAACATCCTTCCCATTTCTTACAAACTCTCATTAATAGGCACCACTCACCTTGTTGACTAAAGCAAAAAGTCCCTATTTATTTATATGAGCTTCTTATAGTATAATTTGATGGTTTGCATTTAGGAACTCACTTCAAACATCTCAACATGATATATCCTATAAAACATATCACCCAACTGAATATATATTCACCATTCACCATTAATAGCTGCTGGTTTAATGCAGTCCATAGGGAGTATAGAGGGAGAGATAGGAGTGTGGCTCATGTGGACTATTGGCAGCTCAAGTATTGTTGCACGCTTTACTTGGTTAAACCACTGCAGTGGCAAAGATGTCGGAGCAGGAATTCTTGGGCTGCCTCCAATAAGGGATTCCTAATGAAAACCACTGCAGAAGGAGGGAAGGTAGGATTGAGGGGGGAGCTAAAGTGTTATGCCAGCTGTTTTCTCTGATGTGTGTGGTGTGTCATAAAGGTTGGAGGAGGTGGTGGGGAGTGTATCGATGTTAATGGACTGAAGCGGGGAGTCGGAGGGTTCAAAGAAGCTGGCACAGCCAACAGAGCATGCGGCTTTTTGCTTGTTTGTCATGCGGTCTTGTTGGATGTCTTGGAAAATAATTTGTTGCACCTGCATCAAACCACCACCTTCACTTTTGCAGCAACAATCGTATTTATTAAATGCATGTTTAATTGCATCCTTTTCTTTGTAAGATTTTATGACGTATGAGGTGTAACTACTTCTTTACTGACATTTTCTTTAAAAAAATAAAGTAATTTCATCTCTCTGTCAGATATTTTATTGCATCAGCTTTGGTCACATTTGTACCTTGGAAATGTTTGTAAGGTTAGAAATATGTCGACCCAATTTGCAATTCATTTTGTTACCTCAAATGTAAATGTTTAAATATTCTGCACTTTTTGCTAGTATCATTTATATTCTATCTTTTGGGGGGGTTACCTTTACTCCCCTCTCTCTCACTCTCTCTCTAACATGTTGAAGTTTAAGTGATACTGTTTTCCTGTTTAGGTAACGTGGAGCTGGTGAACCGATTGCTCCTGGATGCCGGCATCACTTCAGATCTGATCAAAGTTTGGAAAGAAAACAAGTTACAGTAAGTGAAGCATAAAGAATTTGACAGCTTTTTTGTGCTATCAGTTATCTCTTACTCGGTATTTGGTAACGAATGTCCAAGTGGAAAAATTGAATACAGGTGGTTCGAGTATTTCAGCACCACCAGCAAATGTCTAGCAGGTTTTAAGCATATTCCAGATTTGTTTAATGGTGTGTTTTATAGCTTTATCTTCTCTGGTTGTCAGGGAAGGTGTCTTGGCCAGATTTGTTGCCACTGAAGGAGGGATCACACGGGTCTACCCCAAAAGGTACTTGTCAAATGATTGGAGCTGGGGGCTTGATTTAGGAGCACAGGATGGAATAAGTACTATGTTTGGGATTTTCTGATAAAGAATCATGCTGTGGTCTGGTAAGAGAGCTGCAGCTTACACATGAAGTGCTATGTTTTTTTAAGCAGTAGCATAAAACCAGCCCTTCTGAATTTCGAACATTCATCTGTCCATCCATCTTCTACCCCTTGTCAATGTTGGGTCAGTGGGGTTTAGACTATATTCACAAGGGATATATCCAAGTGGAACCATAAGTCCCTTTCAGACATGCACTCGTTTCCATTAATCTGACAACATCTGAACATCTGAGTGAAACAAAATGGTCCTTGGAAATGAGGTTGTGGTTGTAGTGTGTTTTCTCAATTTAAATAAAGGTTTGATAATGGCATAATTTTATAATTGTGTTGTTTTGCTTTTTATCAATGTGTTTGACAGTGCTGGGATGTACTGGACAGAAGAAGCAGAGACGTATGAATCAAGTTTTTATAAACGAAGTTTGGACAATGGTCTGTACATCTTCACTCCAACACCCTACCTCGCTAAGGAGAACGGTAACAGCCACTGTTAAAAATAGATATATATAGACTGTGTATTTATTTATGTATCTATCTATCTATCTATATATATACATACGTGTGTGTACATGTATACTTGTATGTATATATAAATACAGTATGTACATATCCTTTGTCCTTTGCAGCAAGTGACGATTCAGTCCTGGTGAGCAGAGCAGTTGACCTCAATGTTAATGGTGTCATACTTAAACCAGCTGGTAAGGACACACATACTAACACACAAAGAAAGAAGGACATGCCTTTCTTTCTTCTGAAACACTTGCAAGTGCTTATTTAAAGACCGCTACTCATCAAGTGGTCTAGTCCCCTGTGATCATTGTCCACATTTGCATTTTCAAAGTTCAGAGACTAAAGTTGACACAGAGGTCCAACGTGATCTAGGATGTCTGGCTTTTTGTGTTTTCTCCCAGTGGTTGGTGTGAAGTTGGACATCAGTGCCTGGATGGCGAGCTTCATCAACACCACACAGAGGCCGAATGTGAGTAGATTCTACATGCATAACACCTGTATGGACACACATGTGATCCAAACTGTGACTTTCATCATTCTTTCTGCTTTACCTTGTTTTCAGTGCAATGATGAAATCTGTGGCTGTCAGAGAAACGATGAGGTAAGAGGTTCGATTAGTATATTTTCAGATATTATTATAGATAAGAACCATGAGAATGCAACACAAGTATAATTATGTCTTTGTGCTTCCAGTACATAGACTGTGTCATTCTGGATGATGGGGGCTTCATGGTGATGTCCAATCAAGATAAATATATTGATAAGGTGGGCCATTTTACTCTCACTCACAAAAACTACAGCGCAAGCAATGTCAGTGTCTGGTGTTAACCCTTTGAATTCTGTAATAAAGCAGTAACAAATGCTCCTTAAGATGATGATGTAAGTTACAAAGAATGCCTTATCTTAAATTAACCTACAGTAAATTTGTTTTAAGGTTATTGAGAGTATTTCAGAAGAGAGCAGACATGGATGCTCATAATTTTTATCCAAATTTCTTATCATGGATTAATGATCTCTTTACAGCGTATGTGGAAAATGTATAGTTCATAAATGCATATTTTAGGACAATAGAATACTTTTACTCAAGGTTTTCTCACTAGCTTTTTCCAGAGCTTTTAGCCATGTCTCACATTCGTCATCAGCAGACTGAGGTTGCCCAGTTCAGATCACTTTCCAGGCTGAGGGGGGTCAGAACCTTATGTGACCACCTACTATCATAACTCACATGATCACAACTAAGCCATCTCCTACAAACCCCAAACATGAAATGTATGTAAAAGTTCTAAAAAAGAAATAAAAAAGCTAGTAAGTGGACCTTCAGCCAAAGTTATTTTTTGTCAAAGTGTTTTAATTTTTGTGGACTTTGAGTTAAAATAATTTTATTCAAACTATTAAAACTAAACTTTCATGCTGAAAATACTTTTTTGTCCTGTATGACGTACTCACTGACCTAATGGTTCTGATATAGTTTTGATTAATCAACCGTGCACTCTTCCTCTCCCACATGAGATTGTCCTTAAGGGTTCAGCCCTTCTGCAGTACTTCCCCAGCCAAACCTGGTGTGAACGTACAATCAACCCTAATGACCTACGCTCAAAATAAATTAATGGAGCCTCTCAAACACAATTCCACCCAACCTTTCCTATTACTAACCTATACATGCGCAAACACATACTGTACAGCACAGTGCGCAATAGGCACAGTAATTTATCCCCACTCCTGGTTGGCCAGTGCTAAATGCTAAGAGTGGACTCCTGCTGTCATCTGAGTAAATGTTTTTCATGTGGTGCTGGCCCCTTCCTAATCAGGGCTGGGTGTGCGCTGGATAAATCAGTTGCCCTCTGAAGTTTGGCAGCAGCACTAAAACCCAGGGACCTGAGGCCTTGTTTGGAAAAGCCTATGTGCCCTCAATCATATTTCCTACAGGAGCAAAGTTTCTCTCTCTGTAAACTTCTCACTTTCTCTCCCTCTTTACGTCTTTCTCCCTCCAGCTCGTTCCTTTTCTTTCTCCAAACTCCTCAGGGAGTCTGCAGCCAGCGGGGTTGTAACTGTTAATTCATTATTTATGTTACTGCACAGGGAAAGGAGAGGAGGTTACCTTAGTGTCCTTTGGATGTTAGACTAAGGAGGAATGAATATGTGGAAGACAGCTTGTTAGTGTCGACCTTCCAAGGTGCAAGAAAGGGAAAGTTAGCATTTCCTTATGCACTCACATTTTTCAGCACTCACACACATAGTTCAATACTACTAACTGTACATAATTCCTTCCTGAACACACAAGTACCTAAACACTCTCACAGTTGTTTTAGACCTCTGAGATGGCGAGACAAACTACTTCCTGTAAGGAGAAATTTATGGTTACCTGGTGAACTGTGGTAATTAGATTAAAGTGAAGTCCATCCTCCTGGTTGGAGGGTGATTTACTGTTTGTGTGTGCGTCTGTGTATGTGTCCGTAAATTCACTGTCAACATTTACTATACATGTATACCCATTCTTAACTGTTTTATGCATGTTTTTCACATTGATTTAACTGTTTAAACATTTTTTGTGGACCCTGAAATTACTGAAATCACTTCCTCCGTGAAGTTGGCCTTCCCTGGTAGGCTAGTGGTTAAAGTGCAGCGCTTTCACTGCGGTGCGCTGGGTTCGAGTCCAGGTTGTATCAGGAAGGGCATCCGTCATAAAACACGTGCCAAATGTCAACATGCAAGTGGATTCACTGTGGCAACCCCGAAACGGGAAAAATCCGAAAGTGACATTCACTTTCTCCATGAAGTTGTGAGGTCACACTCCAGTAGTCTGCTGTTCTATCATAATAGAAGAAGGATTGGTGTACATAAAGATTAGATCTGTGTAGGGATCCTTGTATGTATTGGACTGAAAGAATTAGACATATACAGTGCAGCAGTAAGTTTCTACTTCCATTGTGTGTGGGTGGGTCAGCTTGTAAAAGCGTAGTGAGAGTTTGGAGTACATGAAACTGCTTGTGAGCATTTTTGCAGATGGAAACTGAAGGCTGAGGTGCCTTTGGCCATCTTTGAAATTTCATCTTAAAGAAATAGTTCAACATTTTGATAAACTCTTATTCGCTGTCTTTCGTGGTGTCTGTACAGTAACTATGAAACTATAGCCAGTAGCAGGTCAGCTTAGCTTAGCATAAGGATTGTTAACAGGGGGAAACAGTTTGCCTGACTCCCTTCAATGAGACATGATTCACATTCCTAAGTTGATTTGTGTGTCACTTTAAAGCACAGCAACTCTGGAAATATTGGAATACTGCAACCTAATTCATTTCTGCCTATGGCCCCCGTAGAAGCTTAATACAGGCACATGTCCCATTTTTATAGCGTTATATTGTTTAAGCCTCGATTCCAGTTTAGCTTCTTGTTTCTGCTTTTTAAAATTGATGTTCTGAATGTGACATTTGCTTGACCCATGCTACAAAGGTATAAAACATTGTTTTACATTTTCACTTCCTTCTTCCTCCTAACATTAGATTGGAACTTTCTTCGGTGTTATCGACCCCGTCCTCATGAGAAAGCTGCAGGACTCCCTGTTCACCTTTAAGAAGACCTATGATTACCAGTCACTCTGTGATCCCAAGAAAGAGAGCAAGGCGGCTGCAGGCCTGCGATCTGTCTACGTGGTGAGTTACATAAGACAGAAACCACACACATACACTTAGGCACCAACATGTGCACACCCATACTTAAGTGTTCACACAGTTCGATATCCGTGATCGCATGGGCAGATGCACATCCAGCCATTTTTTCGCTTTACATTTTACACATGCAGCATGGTCACACTACGTACACACAAACCATCACCCACCAGGGAACCATAAGTCTGAGAAGTGAAGCAGAGGATATGGTGAAAGCGTTAGAGTGGGAGTTGCAGTAACAGTAACAGGATTAGGTGGTCTAACACACCAAGCGATGTCAAAAGGGGCACTGTATTTCATCACTTACAAAACATATAAATTAGAGTGAACTGATGCAAAATGTTCACAAACATGGCACGGATACTGAAGAAGTTCCTGTGGCGCTCAGTAGCAATTCAGATGGAAAATATTCCCATCATTTATTGACTTTTTAAACCGCGTCACTTCCCAAGCTGGACATAAACGTGTACGACACATTGGAGTGACCAAGGTGAGATGAAAGATGCCTTCTGATCAAAGACACTGTCAACAGCCAGTGATGCCTCTGACACGGTTAATTAAGACTCCTTGATGATTCAACAACTGAGGAGAAAGGATACAACACTGATTCACCAAAACAAGGCCCTCGCATGCTAAGCTTAATCGAAGCAGCATGTCTGGCCTTTTATTCAAACAGTGTGCTACTTTGTTTCCTCACTGGCTTTTTGTTTACATATTTATTCTTGCATCTGTTGAGGAGGATTGTGTTCTAATTTCTTCTGAGAGGGAAGTAAATAAATCCCTAGCTGAACCTCTTGGTCTCTGTACCTGGAACAAAACTGAACTGTCTGCAGATATTGTAAACATGAGTAGGATGTTCAGATTGGCTCAACCAGCTTAAAATGATTTGTTCAATGATTCATTTGAGCTATTTTTTGTCCTTTTCTGATATTCATTCTCATTTTGTTTGTCCCTCTCAGCCCACCATTGCAGATATTTTGAATTTAGGATGGTGGGTGACAGCTGCGGCCTGGTGGGTAATTTTTGGAACCTTTTTTAGCATGGTTGCTATTAGTGTCATCCCATTTTTATAATGATCAGTGACAATATTATACTGAAAAAAAGAAAAAATATATAAATTCTGAACTTCAGATCTTAATGAAAAGCACTCAAGGTTGTGTTACTGCAAAATGTACATATAGCATCTGTTTAGTAGTTGAATTGTTCCCAATTCCAGAAAATCTTGTCTTGATTTATTGTTAAAAGCTTGTTTTACAATATGTCCAATAAAATTAGACTTTTTGGGCTCACAGACAATATGGCCATATTCATTTTTTATTAAATAGTTTTGCGCTTTAGGTTACCAGCATGTTATGGTTACATTTTGATTCATGTTTGTATTTAAGCAGATGCTTTATTATAGATAATGTTTCAATAAATCCAGTCTTTTTTTTTATCCTTGGTGTGTGTTTTTGCACTTAGGTCAATGCTGCAACAGTTACTGGTCAGCATCACCTTTCCCAGTTTCCTGGATGCAGGTGAGTTCTCATCAGTTTAATGCAGAGAAAAGAATCACGCTTTGAGGTTTTTTGCGACATTGACCCTTACCTTTGAAATGAAATGGTAATAATTACTCAGTTTAGGGGTTTTTTGTTAGTCTTAAAAGGTACTGAACACAGTGGGTACATCTCATGCCTCTTATAAGATTATTCAAACATCCCAGACGTTGTTCTGGTCGACCGAGGATGTAGGATGTTCCAAGTCTCTTATATCGGCTTTGAGGACCGAGGTGTGAGGATCGAGGACACATGAGACCATCCTTCGTGGAGGTTTTTTGTGAACTGATATGCCCCTTTATCAGAAATCAGTTGATGATTGGGTGATTCAGATGAAGGATCTGAGAAAAGGATGTCCAAGGTTGTTAATAACATGTTTCCTCGAGTTCTCTCTCCCCACGTTTTCCTCATGTTTTCCTCGCATCTTACATGAGTGGGATTAAGATACAAGGAGAAGATGCAAGCGAGGGAAATGGTGATGGTTATAAGAGACTTGAGATGTACCCAGTGTTTGCACACTGTTTGTTTATCTTGAAATTTTGTTGCAACACTTACCACATGACAAGAATATGCACTGTAGTAACAATATTGTTTATGGGAACAATCGTTAACAGGATTTGATGTGTGTAAAATGTTGCACATACTGTATGAGCCAGAATGTGCAGTTATGGTGTTTGTGTGTGGTATTTGGTGTGACTATAAATGTGTTATTAGAAAATCCAGATTGCCTCAATATCCCAAGCAAATTGACAGGTCTCTCTGCGTTTATAGTTCCTGTATATACATCATGTGATGACAGTGATACCTGTTAAAGGGTCTTTTCACCCAAATGATCTCAAAATTTGGACAAATATTCAAACCAACACCACCTGCATGGCAAAATATTACCAAGAATAAGTGAGAAATTTCAGTCAAATGACCCTTTAATGCATGAGGGTGGAGGAACAAGTCATTAAGTGCCAGACTCTGTGTGTTCATGCGTTTGTTCATTAGCTCCTTATTTTGTTGGTTACATTGTCTTAGTCCATTGCACTTCTTTGAAGTTTTCAGTGGCTAGGGGTTTTACAATGATGGCCAAAAATCAATGACTGCTGCTTTAAGTTAATATACAGTAATTTTGCTCAAGCCAGTTATTTACTGGCCAAAACACCTAGCAGAAACATATCCTTTAATGTTCTTTATTGTCTGAGTGCTGTGTCCTTCTACAGCTGATATGGATGATGAAGTGCCAGATGCCATGCTTAAAGAAGTCTGCATCACGGAGCAAACTCAGTTCTACTTTATGAACAACAACCTGTCTGTCAAAGGCTCTGTCGACTGTGAAAACTGCTCCAGGTAAAAGCTTCAAACCAGGCACTTTACCAGCCATACACACTCCCAGTGTATAGGTCCAAACACCTTCCCTGACCTACTGTGGTGTTTGTGCATCCATGAGACACAAATGAAGTCCCCAGAGGTGGCTGTAAAACTTCACATGCCATGAAGGTGAAGTCAAGTCACTAGTATGGACCAGCGCCTCGATATGTTCGTGTTTGTGACTGTGCACACGTGTGTGTGTGTGTGTGTGTGTGTGTGTGTTAACATACAGTACATCATTTTAAGGCCCTGTGCCAGCTATTGGAGTGCCTGCTCCCATGCAGTTTGGGGTTGTGTTAAAGATTAAGTTATTTCTAGAGTGTTGCTTTGTCATTTTAAAGGAGGAATAATTACTCTCTCCTTTAGCAGCTTCATAGTGCAAAAGATATTATAGCACATTGCTATCTGGTTAAATATTCAATTTCCTGCATCTCTTGTGAGCATGTTTCAGTGAAATGTTATCTTCATCTTTCCTGGACTCAAGCCGATGTGTCAACAACTGCTCTCGTGTCTCCTGTGCGTCTGCTCTTCTCTAGGCTCTTCCATGCTGAAAAGCTGCCCAAGACAAACCTGGTCTTTATCATTGCTGATGCAAAACTCACCTGCTCGTCCTGTGACGCCAAGGAGTTGAAACAGGAAGAGGAGCCGTGTATCCTTCAACCTAACACTGCTACCATCGAGCAGAGAACGTGTATTCCATTTAGTGCACACATGTTTAAAAGGTTTGTGTTTAGGACTAGATAATACTGATTCTGACTATGACAACAACACAACAGAATGTTCTTTCTTTAAGCTATGTAAAACAATTTTTCTCTCATCCGTAATTCTCACCACTCATTATTCCATTCCATTTGCATCTCCTAAATCCTACTGCCATAATAATGACTGAGCATTTCCGCACTAAGTGACATTTAAAATTGGGCCCAGAGTTCAGATGTGTCTGCACTTGGTTTCTCTGTGCGTCTGTATGGCAGATGCTAGCGTGGGGTAAGTCTGCATCATAGCTTTATAAGCAAATCTGTGATGTTCACTCAAATACACAGGGCTGTGCTCAATTATACATTAAGCCTCTTGGAAAACACAATGCTCGAAAATGACTACCACATCACTGAGGTATTGAGCAACGTGCTCAAACTCCTAAAAGAGTCCTATAGTCCTTCCACAGTTAAAGTGGATCCACCTGATTTGGACTAATGTAATATATCCCAGTGATTTTTCCATAGTAATCAAAATGTTATATATGTTGCTGCTATAACTAATGCAGGTTCACACTGAAACTGTCATGTTCCTGACTTTACTCATCCAGCTGATGGTCCTGATCCCTGTGAAATGGCTCAGAGTCCTCGATACAGGAAAGGGCCTGGAACCTGTTTTGATAACAATGAACATGTAAGTTGCTATCATCAAATCTGGACTGCTTTTAGAAGAGAAGGATGTGAACTGAACAAATGAGTTGCTAATGGTACTACATGTGTCTTACTGCCAAACTGCTAAACAGTGACACCACTGCTGTTTTATTAGTCTCGTAAGAATTAAAGACATTTGCTGAAACCCAGCCTGAAATCACAAAAGACTTTCAAATTAAAGTATGTGCTCCAAGGTTACTACTTTTGGTTTCTCTGCTAAAATCATTCATTTGATAGCTTCATTCAGTCTGGTTAACTTTTAGCTCTACCAGAATTGTTAGAATCATCTGTAAATGTGGGTCTGACCATTTATTTTGAATACCCAGAGGTAAGGCATCATGTTACTGGTATTATGAGGTCTCTTACTAATCTAAAGTCTCAGTTTCACAGATTAATGGAAGATTTTCCCTGTGACTCCGATGTATGTAATACATCACAAGCTGGGGCTAAATAAAATCTACATTAGCTGATTCCTTTGGCCACTTCATGAGCAGCGCAAAGTTGAAACCCTAACACCGACATATTTTTGACAGCTAACTACTTATACATCCACACAAGGAGCAACATGAGCATTAACTTGGAGTACATAGTGCATGTCTTTTCTCTTTGTAGATTTCCCACGCAAAGACAAACGGTTATTTCTCGACTTGTGAAGCCAAACAAACATTTTTTCTGAGCAATACAGAATGTCTGTGTGTGAAACCTCTGTGCTTGAATGATCTGTTTGTATTCAATCTAAGGTCCTTTTTCAGAGTCGGGGTTTGTCAGTCTTATGAATGAACTCTTCTGCCTGCACTGTCTTGCTTGCTCACATATACACACAAACACCCACATACTCTTTTCTCAGAATTAAATGTCTTTTACTACTATTCCTCTACTTAAACTAATATTTCTGCCTTTTCTGTTCATATTTGCTTCTTGCTAACACTGGATCTTTTGCTGCATGATTCTCTTTCTCTGTTTTCTCTCTTTCCTGCTCTGTGATTGGCTGTTCATGGTTAGGATGAGGCCATGTGCCGAAGGAGCGCAGGCTCCCCATTGGTTTCCTCTCTGCTCATGTTACTGCTGCCACTGTTCATGTGCTGTCTCGGGTCAGTCCCATAACACCAGCTGTTTCTCTCTCATTGACACTGTATCGTGATCTTGTATGCAGTCTAACAGTCTTTGGTTTTTAACTCTTGCGCTCTTTTGCCTGATGTTAGTTTTCCACACCTCATATTTTTACACCTCTGTTTGTTCTACTACTTCATGCCTTTCTCCAGTCTTCCTACCCTTATCCTTCTTGCACGTCAATCTCTTATGACCTTTCGTTCTCCCACCATCTGTCTTCACCTCCCCCAACTTACCTCCCTGCCTCTTTCTCTCAAGCCAACATTTTCTGTCTCACCTGACTTTGAACTTCAAGCCACACTCTTTGTATCTTTCCCATCTATCATTATTCGTCTCAGGCAACAAACTCGAGTCAGACTCTAGTGTCTGTCTCTGCTGACATCTGATTACTGTTGCAGCCAGGCTCTAGCTAAAACAGACTGCTCAAAGACATTCTTTTCCCTTTACCTCTTCAGATGCTAAGCACACAGAGCGTATCATATCATTCCAGGTTTATCATACACAATGGCTCAGTGTTTAAGTATAAAAAAGTCAATCTGAAGATTTTTTTATGTCTTCTGACCTATTGTTTGATCCTAGCAAGGTTCCAGTTGACCATTTGCTAAGCCTCATCTCCTCCCAGTTATTGCCAGTAGCTTGCTACACCTGTCAAGCTTTCTGGTCTCAAAGTCTTTTAGTTTTGTTAATAGTGGCAGATTGGCACAAAATCACTAGAAATTGTTGAAAAGATTCCTTGAGGTAGGCAAAAGGCCACAGCTGGAAAGATAAGTCACTAGCTCTAGCTAGCTAACTAAACATCTGGGGTAGGGTTTTAACAAACAGACAGCTAAAAAGTGTGAGTTTTTTTGTGCTGGTTTAAATAATAACTTCACTTTTTTTTACTCCTTGCTCGGTACCAGGAGGAGGACCCTGACTGTGGTGGGACGTCCAGTTTGAGGCCTTCAGTTTGGCTAATGGTGGCCCTCCAGCTGGTGTTGCTCTGGGTACTGACTGGCTGCAGACACCAGGCCATCCCATCATGACCCTTATATTACTTTGATCACACCCTCTGATTCACTCCCTCTATATGTCCAACATGGCAACCAACATACAACGTTGCCACCAAAATGATGAGCACCTGATGAAAAGTGCTTGTAACCAAGAAACAAAAACCCGTGAGCCCCACATTCTGCCAGGCCCTTCATGTGATTCCTTGATTTTCAGGGGTTTCTCAACATGATGTCATCAGATGCAAGGGCAAAAGTGACAAAAAACTCGCCTATTAGAAGATATCAGTTTGAACACAAAGAAAGACCTTGACCTACAGCTCCTTCATCCCTTCATTTGTCCCCACTAACTGAAATTAGAGGAATCCAGAGATTAATTTTGATTGGCGACTTGAAAACGTTCTCTCACTTGATGCTAGATTGGACAGCTTTATAGTATCAGAGGGATTGAAATCATGATTGGGGGCTAGCATTTTATTGATGAGCAGTTTTACTCACCGTTGCCAGAAACAGCACTTTTCTTTACAAGCATAAAATATATTTTGAATCTATTTGCAGTGGCTAGTTACTAGTTATTTATTGTTTTACAAATGAGAATTTCACTAAGATTACAGTAAGCGATGCCAAATTGTTATATCACAAGCTTTTGCCCTACATTTGCCTTAGTTAGGTTGCTGATAATAGTGTTGTCTCAGTCTGATGTTTAGATAGCTCCACCCAGAACATCTCCTCTGAGGGCATCACCTTCACTTTCTTCTCAGTGTTCTTTCATGTAGATATTGTATTTGCAGTGTGGAAATCATGTTCACTGTTATGTTTATGCACAAAAAACAACCTTCAACTGCCACAGAGCACCTGCTTTTATGGATTTTAACTTTGTACTTGATCATACATCAACCCAGATTAGATGTGGTACAGTAGATGTATCTGGATTTCCTGCCTTGGTGTTGGATGCTCCAGTGAAAACTTTGTTACCATAATGCGCATGAACCAATCAGGACAAGCCTGGCTGGTGTCCTTTTGTGTTCATTAGACTAAATCTCTAGTGCCATGTGGACTGTGTGACTTGGACAAACCCTTTAGCTTTGTAGACTGTGGCTACTGGAAGGAAAGAAGTGTACTATTTATTTATTTTAATATTTATTGGCTATCTGAGGTTTCAGGGCAGCCTGCTACCAGTAGTTTTAGTGCCACGACTAAAGAAAATAAATGAACGGGATATGAGAATTTATACTTGACATTTTGGTCAGCAAAAAAAAAACAAAAACAAAAAAAAAACAGTATATTTGTATTCACTGCTGCCACTTTTCAAATTAAATGACTACTATCTCCTCTGCAATTCAAAGTGCAGCTGATGTTTACAGTTTGATCTTCTGAATTAAGAAGAGCATCTGTTTCTGTGTAGTGGTAAAACTCCCTCTTACTTTGTGTGTGTGTGTGTGTGTGTGTGTGTGTGTGTGTGCCATGATACTGTATCACCAAGTGGAATTCACTTTAGAAAAGCCATTAGTTAGTATTTATGATCCTCTCAATTACTGTGTTCCATTTTCTCCAATATAAGTTCATCTTTTTTCATGTTGTTGTTTTTTGCATTAGTTAAAACCAAACCTAAGCAAGAAAATTTGCAGATGATTTTACTTTAGATGATTTTTGTGAAAAAGTGTCATCAGGCAGAACAGTTAATTAGTTATTTATTTTTTAAAATTGCACTTTTTCGCCCAAATCACTGCTGCATAGCAAAATAAATCTGCCAAATAACAAATTTCACAGGACTAAAACTGGACTGCTAAAGCAACTAACTGCCGTGGTATTACAAATTATATCAGCAAGTGAAAAAGCAATTTTATTAATTTTACAGTGAACTTATAACTACATCCTGAAGATGCAATATGTGATAAATAACATGCTGTGTTTTTGTGGATAATTTATGCTTTTAAGGATTAGAATAAGTTAATGCAGTTCGGCAGGAAACAATTAATCAGGCAGAAAACTTTAAACTGACAATCACGGAACTGAAGGTTTCACACGTCTGCCAAAACAGAAACCCTTACATTACAACTGTTTAGTGAAATCAGATGATTGAAGGTTTTATTGCCTAATCACATGCTCCAAATCATCAAATATCTTTTCAGTTCACTGTTAAACATAAAAACTCAACCATTCAAAACATCAACAGATCAAGTAATTTGGGAATTTGGGGGACACTATATTCATCACTAAAGCAAAACCAGGGAGTGCATCTTATCGTGCAAAGAGTATACTCTATAAACACTGACACATGTTTGCAGGAAACTATTTAATTCTGTGGGAAGGTGAAAACCACATGATTAAGCTGTGTGTACCACATTATAATCAGAATCATCTTTATTGGCCAGTATGTTGACCACACAAGGCATCTGACTCCGGTACTACTACTAGTACTGCTGCTAAACATTTGTCTCTCACCTTCTTTGGAATTCTTTTAGCTAAACACCTGCTATTCCATCACACTGATAGTGTCATTTTTAAGAATTTGCATTCCTCCAAGTCAAATCAAGGAATGTTAATTTGTCTGTGATATTTTGCTGCAAAACTCCACCACCGCCATCATCATCGGTGACTTTCCAATTGACTGACTTTCCTGAGGTGCAATTTTTACCCTCAACTTTCTCCTCCATCTTTAGCTACAACCTAACATCTAAAATAGTGTGGTGAAGCTAACAATGGTATTTATGCTCCTTTTATAATTACTAATACTCAAGAATATCAAGTGCCATATAGGACTCTCTTATTCTCTTATGGAGAAACCTATTATCATAATACAACATTTATGCAAGATTAAGGCAAGATGTAGTTCCCTGTGATGCATGGTAATGGCTGACAGTTTGTTTAAAAAACATATCCAGTGTGCTCCTGCTTTCGTGTGTAATGTTGGGACGCATAATATTCTGAGTGTCAGGCTTATGTTCATGATATGACAAGGTATGAAAAGCTATTACTGCCTTTCTCTTGGGGAGACAGCATTTGGCTCCACCCTGGATTAAGTCGACTGGGAAAAGGAGACCTGCTTGGCCAGTGTGACATTTGAGTGCAACATTCCCTCTGTCTGTCTGATTAGTTCACTCTGATTAAAGAACCGTGCCAGTGATTTAGCAGGTTTTAGGCAATTAACTGCAAATCATTAATACTTTACAGTACTGCTGATTGTTTTATCAAACAATGCTGAAGTGTAGCTGCTAACATTAGCATGTTACCATTGTCATTGTATGTTAGCTTTTACAATAGGTTAAAGTTCTGCTGTGCCAAAACACAGGAGTTTCTGGTATGGCAGTAGACATTTTAATCTTCTTCCTACCTTGAAGGCAGCTATTAGTTTCCTTTCATATGTGTACGCTATGATAATCAAATGGCAGAGTCTTGAACACAAAATCTGAGTTAATTTGGTCATAACTGATGTTACATTATCATTGTGAAACATTGCAGCCCAGAGTAATCACATCAAAAGTCATTACCACACAGAAAAATGTGGATTAATGTAGCGGTGGGGCCCTATCTAGCAATAAACACATGGTATGTGGTGTGGGTAGTGCATCTGTTTCCTAATATTCTACCTGTGCAATTACCATTTTCATGACATGCATCATGGTGCCTTTTTACCAAGCAGCAGCCTGTCGACTTTGCGCCGGCAGGGGTGTCCAGATGAAAATGGGGGATGTCCAGGTAAATTTTGGTCACGTTGGTAATATGAGGGTGCACAATGCCCATCCACTGTGCTTGTTATACCCTGGGAAGCACTACAGAGGACATGTAAAACTTAAAAAATCAAAAGATGAAATTTTGTTCTCTTCTGTGGAAAATCTTACCGATGTCCAACCTGGCAAATTCACCAATATGCTAGCAATCCACCAAACATACAAATTCACATGTCTCTTAAAGAGGATGTGTTACACACTGATTGCATTTTATGCCCAAAACACACCCCTGCTTTAATGGGGAGATCAAGTACTGCCCTTTCGCTACTTGCTGTTTTTCGTCATTGCCAAATTACCAAAATGAATACGGACACACCCAAATGCAACTTGTGCCAATACATCTTGATCAGACACTGTGGATCCTCAAACTAGGGCCCCTGATGTTCACTGTGGTCAGTCAGAACAGAAGACGCATCTTGGATGAGAGGTGAAACTTCTTCAAGAAACTCAAGCAAGTCCAGTTGCCAACTTGTAAGCTTTGATAACCGATAACCTGGAGGACTGAGAATCTCCACAGATGTGGTTTGTCACAAAATTCAAGTAAATTTTATTATTTACTCTATACTGTAGTGTATGGAAATGAGTTGAAACCAGTTAGCTGAACAGAAAAAAAAGCAAAAAAGTAAGTACAACCAAATATCAAAAATTTGTAAAATAGTCACAAGTAGTCAGTTATAAATATAGTATGTGAACTGTAGTTAAAGCAAAAACTAGCAAAATTCTGGTGTGGTCCTTTAAATCACTGTGAACAGACAAATGCTAAGAAATGAGTGAAATTGCCTCCTCTAATTGGATCCTTTTAGAAATGCAAATAAGTCATTGGAAAATGAACATGAGCTTCACAGTGGCCCAGATTCTCCAATCTACTCTTAAGTGCTAAAATCAGATGCTGTCACCTCAGGAATTCTATATTCTCCTTGTGTTATGAAGTGTTTTTGATTCTGTTGGTGCTCTCTGTGTGGGTTGTGTGGGTTGACCTTTTTGTTTCTGGGTTCTTGGGATTTGCTTAATGTGTGTTTTTTGTGTCTTTCCTTGCTGTCATCTTTGGCAGTCGATAGGCGAGCCTGTCAGTCAATCTTCCTTTGCTTTTGTTTGTAAGGCAGGCTCTTGATGGCGGCATCCACCAAGTCATCCTTAACCAGACTCAGCTTTGGGAGCATCTTGGTGGGCCTCTCTTGGTCTGCCTCAACTGTGCTTTAATGGGTTACACTTTAGTGGAACTTGATTCTCCTGAATCAGTCATGTAAAAATTTGTACAAAATTAATGTTGTTCTCAACAGAAAAAAAGAACAATGTTTATAATCCTGGGGAGGGAAAGTGTGTTTACTCATGTGCAAATACGGCATATTCAGAATAAAAGTTTATGATTACTATCTATTGTGTATCGTTTAGTATTCTGGCTGATGTCCATTTCTTGAAAAATGTCAGGTTTTTTCCACACTTGGATCAGGTTACTAACTTCTGTTACACTGCCAACACACATCCTATCCAAGTGTATGTAAGAATGAGAAAGAAGCACTCTGAGTCTGCTCTCCCAGTGTCTAGCCAACATTGAAACTGACAACCAGCCAAAATCAACAATGTCCAGGAAAAGAAACAACGAAGGCGTAGGTCCAGCCACATCTCTCTACAACACTGAATTTGCCTTAAAGACACATCTATTAGCAACAAACTGTAACATGCCTCTGGTCGTAAATTTACTGTAATTCCTGTTTTCCCTGTTGGACATTGATCAAATGGTAAGTGACTTTCTCGTTAGCACATTCCGCTTTACATTGAACCTGAAACCAGTTCTGCTGAAGTCCTGCTTCTCATAGCCAGTATTCCTCAGTGCCCCCCAATTAGACAAGCTTCAGGCTCATTTTACCCGTTATTGTGAATGTTAAAGCCAACCCTAGTTGTGTATGGTGCACTGCTAGCCCATGAAGAAATGTTCTTTAGGTGCTTGGGGACATTTTAAATGAGACAATTTACAGTGTCTTTTGTGTTTATTTTTAAAAAATGAACTTCACCAGCTAGTGAATGACGAATGACTGTACAAAGACCAATAATATGAAATTACACATTTTCAGACCCTGTGATAGAAACTAATTATAACATCAACCAAAATATTTCAAAACCTCCATTTTAGGTAAGTATTGTAACATTTTCAACTCTCTTGGATTTTGGCCTACAAGCCTTGTCTGTTCTACTTTTAACCAAAGCATTACATACTATTAACCCCATGTGTAATCTCTGTTTTTAATGCATTCTCTTTCCTTGAGCAAATATTTTATGAATGATGGTAAAACCCATGTTTTCTGGTGACAGTATTTCTTGGACTTTTTTTCCAAGCTCTTCCTATTCAAAAGTTATTCCTTGTCTGTCATGGATCAGTTGCAATGTCAACATCACACGGAGGATTTCCTGCCACGGGGTCTGGATTTTGCATCTGGCAACAAGATGACCCCTCAGGTTTACACTGAAAGGTCACTCCTGTTTTGTTTTTGATTGTTATCTTTAGTCTCCGGCCTTGTGTCCCTCTGTCACTGACTGATATCCATCCTGAAGTCATGTAAACGGCCCCTAGAGTAAATATGAAAAGTTTATTATGTAAGTAATTACATTTGTATGTATTAACAGTTCACTATCATTACACCAGCAGATGTCCACAGTATAGATATGGTGTTGCATAGTGTTTGTGCACCAGAGTGAACCTAGGGTGCTTTATAGAATGAGATCCTATACACTTAATAGTGAATGTTCACATACTGCAGTTCGCCTCCTCATTTCTATGCACGTATTGCTCTCAAAGCCCTCTCTCCCTCTTCTCAGATAATGCTTAGGCTACAGAACATAGTTTTCATACTCTCTCCTTCAACTTCATGGAAGTGATCCTATGACAAGAAACTTGTTCTTTGCCCGCGGACAAACCTAGCTGACCACCACTGAGAAAGCTTTGTTTTTGCTTGTTGGGAAGAAAAATCAACTTTGTGGGTTGTGGTTGGAACAAACAGCATTTTAAGCTTCCACTGACAACAAAGAGTAAGGATAAGACCACCAAGGCATTGTTGAGGTTTTGGTTTGTCACTCTATCTCCTCCCTCTTTAGCTCTTCTGTAGGATTTTAAGGTCGTTACTTTGTGCTCAGGAGGGACATCTGTAACCACCCTGATCACAAATGAAGTCCGTACCCCTTCATTTAAATTTCAGACATCTTATAAAAGCATTTGTTTGGCACAGGCTCAAAACCCAGTCACAACTGCCATAATACATAGCTTATGATATTTATAAGGCACAAAGGGATCTCATTTCAGAAAAGCTGAGATTGATATGTTTAGCACAGAATGGCTTTATTCCATGTGCCTCTATTATTCAGACTTTATACCCTGAGGGTCAGCAGTCAACTGCATTCAACTCCTTACACGCGTATGTATTTTTCAGTATTAGATTAGGAT